GTCTGTCAGACTGTTCCAGTAGCTTCAGTTCTTTGAGCCACTGAACTGAAACAAGATCAGGAGTGCTGATGTGCCTCTTACTTCATTGGCTCTTTTTTCTTACTTCATATTCTAGGTCTGTGACTCAAAATAATTAAAGCCAGCGACAGCCAGGCAACCAACATATTCAGAAGGGGGTCAGCAACTATAACCTCAAACTTCTTGCAGTGTAGGCCTTCTTTAACAACCTTGTTCAATGACAAATTTTATGTAGTGTCCAGTTGCATCCACTGAAATTTTCACAGAGCAATTACATGCAGTATCAGCCAATCAAATTTTAGTTTTAAGTAGATCAATGCGCTGCTCTAAAAGTATCTAGACCAAAAAAAAAATCTAAAATGTAATATATTGCAGCTTATCAGACTTGCATATAGTGGCTGCATTAGATTTCTATTTTTCAGGTGTTTTCCTCTTATTTTCACCTGGTAATCCTGTGAATAGCACACTTCTGTCCCTTTGTGTGTTTGTGCTTTTTTGTCCACTTTATCTATGGGGGCAGCCTTGTTTGGCTCACAGGCTGGACTTCAAACATGTCTGCCTGTGTTCTTCTCTATTACATGGAGGATTGATGGGTCTAGTGGTTTAGATAAGGCTCAAAGGAAGTGACAAGGACAAGATCAACAGATATTTTCTGCACTTGATAAAAATATTATTTGCCAGAAAAGTGAAAACTAATGCAGCCACCACATCTAAGGGCTAGTAAGCTACAATATATAAAATGTTTGTTTTGGGGTTTAGGTTTTAAACAAAAATCTAATTGTACAACTATAGACTGTGTGTCTGTGTGTACACAGGTCAGAACCTGACGGTTGCCACTTTAATATAATAGAACTTGTATTTTAGGTTTAGTGGTTGTTTGGATTGATACAATTTGCAAGTGGTTCATAAATATATTTATTTACTCATTCATTTTTATTTCACTTGAATTGCAGCAGCTCCAAAAACAGACGTTTAGTCATTTTGACTATATTTTGCTTTACAGATGATTCATTTTTGTTTTTTATTTCAAGCATGATGCATTTCAGTTATTGGTTATTTAAGCTCATAGATTTTCATACCCCATGACTTTTTTCATATTAAACTGCAATTATTTTCGTCAAATTGTAAAACCACTGTCTTTGCCTCCTTTTAAATGCAATAATTTGTCTTCTGACTGTGATTTGGCTTGGAAGTAGGGTCAAAAGATTGAGGTATTGATTTTGGCTCTCAAATTAACCATCTCCACATTCTGAAGCTGATGCCAGAAGCTGTTCTTCTGCCCCGTTCCATTTTCCATTGCTGCATGCTTTTCCGGCTTATGCAAATGCTTCACCAATAGATTTTTTTGTATTTAAAACTCTTTCTTTTGCTTCTAAAAAAAATCACAACTGTCTTATATAATACATTCTACTTGTGTAAAGTGGGCACGCTTTCTTTGCTGGTAAGCTTTTTTGCTGTGATTTTTTGGCTAATTGGTTTTCTTTATATGTTACATTTGATTTATTTATGCATTGTTTTATTTTATTTGTGAACAAATCAGATATAGAATTTGCTTTATGGTATGGGATAATGCACATTGTGCTAAATTCTAATATTAGGTGGTTAGTGTCATTTTAAAACTGTCTGTTTAAACTTATAATGTATCTAAAGCCCAAAATGATTTACATTTTGAATAGAGAAAGGAAGGTTTAGAACGTCTGTCAAGTTTGTATTGCGGTTTGTCCCCCCACTAGGTAGATTCACTATCTCGTTTTGTCCTGGTGACCCTTGTCACTGAGGCTGAAAGTGATGGAGAATCCAAACTTTTAAGTTGTCTATAAATAGAGACATTTGTGCTTGTGACAGCTGTCTGAGGGGTTTCCTCACTATGGAGAGCTTTCCTTTCACTTCCTAATGTGTCTACATTACATGAAATGAAGGAAAATCCCACCATTGGGACACAAATGGCAAAAAAGACTACCAGACGTTTTAAGAATTACCTACTTCATCAAAAGTGAGAAAAAATTGTTTTGGCATTAGATATACAGGTGGCCCTCAGTTTACAACTTATTTCAAAATAGCACCCTTTTCTGGGATTGTTGTAAATTGAAAACAAATATATAATGTATGTCAATAGGAAAAGAGGGAGTTAGGTTCCATGCCTCTCTCAAAACAAGGAATGGTTCTAAATAGAAACTGGTGTAAACTGAAACCCAGTAAGTAATGTAAGTCAGTGGAAAGTGAGGAAGTTAGGTTCCAAGCCTCTCTCCTTGACAAAAATTGACATAAGTAACATAGTAAAGGTAAATTTTATTCCAAGCTGTGAGCTCATGCAGCAGCTTTAAATATAAAGTACCTGTATTTTATTACCTATGTCATTTTGAGAAAGGTCTGGAACATAACTCCCTCACTTCCCATTGACTTACATTATATACTGGGTTTCAATTTACACCGGTTTCTATTTACAACCATACCCTAAGGAACCTAACCCCAGCATAAATTGAGAGCTTCCTGTACTTTAAAGGGAAGCTGTTACGATGGATATTGCTACCACAAACTGCCATTTAGCTCTGAAGGCTGGCATTAGACACAAATTGGTGCTAATTCTTTAGCAGAGCAGAAGGTGAGATGCCCTGCCGTGGAATTAGTACTTCCATCTTGACAGCTTCCTTTTAAATGTAATGTAGTAGATTTGTGTAGTCTGCATGCAAAATGTTAGTGACAGATTCACCAAGTTCACTCTCTATTTTCTCTCATGGTTATTGATTCATACGTTTTGTTTCTTGCAGTCTTTTGGCACTTTTAGAGTCCACAAATTGTTTGGCAGCTTTTTCACTAAAATTTCCAGAATCAACAAATATTCTCCTAAGGCTGTTTCTAAAAATAACTTATTGGGCTAAATTTACTAACTGATGAAAAAAAGTTGCATTCAGTAGTGCCATCATTCAACAACCCTATGGTTTGGTAGTTTATTTGCTTGGTATCTGTCATGCAGCGTGAAAAGTGTGACTGACAGCATCCAGCTGAAAATCATTGTCTGCAGTTCTGAACAATGTAAACTAATAGTCCAAAACATGAAACGTGTGTGTTCATAGTTTATTGCATGATGATTTTTACACTTTATCTCCTTTGCCATTGATATTAGTTGATATTAGTTGTCTTCACTCCATGGCAGTCATACTCAGCTATTGAATACAATATTGTTTTGAAACCTTTTAAGGAGCAAGCCAGTTAATGCACAGAATAGCATTCAATGGTCCTCAGCTATAGTTGAACTCCAAGCAGATTAAGCACATATTAATGTAGCTCTGTATTTATTAATACGTATATATATTTATATATCTATATATACTGTATATATCTAGATATATATCTAGATCTAGATATATATATATATATCTATATATATATACAAGGTTTAGGAGTGTGTCTATGGGAATGTTTGACCATTCTTTTAGAAGCACATTTGTGAGGTCCGGTACTGATGTTGGACAAGAAGGTCTGGCTTGCAGTCTCCGCTCGAATTCATTCCACAGGTGTTCTATCAGGTTGAGGTCAGGACTCTGTGCAGGCCAGTCATGTTCCTCCACCCCAAACTTGCTCATCCATGTCTTTATGGACCTTGCTTTGTGCACTGGTGCGCAGTCATGTTGGAACAGGGACCATTACCAACTGTTCCCACAAAGTTGGGAGCATGAAATTGTCCAAAATGTCTTGGTATGCTGATGCCTTAAGAGTTCCCTTCACTGGAACTAAGGGGCCAAGCCCAACCCCTGAAAAACAACCCCACACCATAATCCCCCGTCCACCAAACTTTACAATTGGCACAATGCAGTCAGTTAAGTACCGTTCTCCTGGCAACCGCCAAACCCATCAGATTGCTAGACAGAGAAGCGTGATTCGTCACTCCAGAGTACACGTCTCCACTTCTAGAGTCCAGTGGCTGCGTGCTTTACACCACTGCATCTGACGCTTTACATTGCACTTGGTGATGGAAGACCTGGATGCAGCTGCTCGGCCATGGAAACCCATTCCATGAAGCTCCCTACGCACTGTTGTTGTGCCAATCTGAAGGCCACACGAAGTTTGGAGGTTTGTAGCTATTGACTCTGCAGACAGTTGGCGACTTCTGCGCACTGTGCGCTTCAGCATGCGCTGACCCCGCTCTGCCATTTTACGTGGCCTACCACTTTGTGGCTGAGTTGCTGTTGCTCCCAGTTGCTTCCACTTTGTTTTAATACCACTAACAGGTGACTGCAATATTTAGTAGCAAGGCAATTTCACGGAACACCTGGTTCCAATGATTTGGTGGGGTGTCCCAATACTTTTGGCAATATAGTGTATGTAAATTATGTAACTGCAGCAGATAAAAATCAGATCCCCTGCCCTGCTAAATTGGGTTGTGCTGTGTGGCAGTTCTATGTAAATCTCAGGCCTGGATGGGCAGAAACAAAAATCTTTAGCAGGTACAACAGCTTCCATATATGTATTTATCTGTTTTCCTGGAGTTCAGCTTAAGTCCCAAACTGGTAATGTTAATTTTGTGTTTGTATTGCCGGTGTATTTTTAAGGAAAGACTATCAGTGCTATATTTAAAATATGGCAAATTAAGTTGAAGCTTACTACTTACCCTTTTAGGGATCCTTTATGCGTATGCACTAAATTCCTTAAGTAAATTTAGCCCATAGTATGAGAGTTTAAGCTTATTTATTTTAACATTCAGTCACCTAACTTGTATAATACAATAAACTACAGTGCTATACATATATTAATGAAACCTACACAACTGTATAAAAACATCCAGTGCATGCTTGGGCTTCCCTTAGCCTTTATTAGGTGTTCCCTGACAATGATACAGTGTGTTAAATGACAGTACTAGGAATACCTGTTATGAATAATTCCAAACCCTGATACTTAGTTATTAAGATTTAATTGTTTTTTTATTTCTTCCTTGATACTTATGGATCTTTATCTCCCTTATCATATATTGCTTTGACTCACAGGCTGGTCTCCCTCCCTAACTTCTTTACTAACAAGTGGTGGACCTGTTCCCCTGGGAGACAGGTCCACCCTTCTTCACCAAGCTGCTGCCCAGGGAAATGTCACTTTATTGTCAATGCTGCTTAATGAAGAAGGACTGGATATAAATAACTTATGTAAAGATGGCTATACTGCCTTGTATTCTGCTGCTGCCAATGGACAAACAGGTAAGATGTCAGCTACTAGTGTTTGTAGATCTTCTGAAGTTTTATAGTTTTGTTTTACTTCCCTTTCTTGTATGAAATGTGCTTTTTTTTTCTAAATGTACTGTATCTTGTCTGTGTTTGAGTGGTGAATGATCTAGTGGGGCTGGATGGAAACACATTTCTGGGTCAAGTATGCAGCTAGTGAAATTGGGATACATATCAAGGAGCCACTTCTTGCTTTGAAGATACCAGTGTGAATGTCTTGCAAGCTGGAATGGTATCAGTGGGGAAAGGGGGCAACCTATGTTATTAATTACCATATAGTGGTAAAATAGTTGCCTTCTTCCCACCTGAATATACCATAGGATGGTGTAGACCCTTGGTTCTCAACTGGTGGGTCGTGACCCAAAAGTGGGTCGTGACCCCGTGTTCAGTGGGTCACTGTATGCCTTCCACTTTTCTAGGTGACAGGGTCCTCAGCCTCCCCATTGCACAGCACTGCCAGTTCTCACTTCAAGCAGCCATTCAAAATATGCTGCCCGGTGCCGAATGTCAGCTTGGGATGGGATGGGGCTATGACCGAGAGGGAGCTCCATCCATACTTGCATGGCTTACAGCTCCCTCGCGTGTCCTGTAGGGGTGCCTGGATGACACTTGCTGGCTCCCAGCACCTCTACAGGGCACCCAAGGAAGCTGTACCAGCAATGCACATATGGATAGAGCTTCCTCACAGCACACCAGCCCAAACTTGACCCCAGGCTAAGGATCAAATCCAGTTCTCGTAAGTTAGGGAGACTGGGTGGATCTTAAAAAAATAAATAAATTTGTAAATAAATGTCTGAGTGTGTTAGATTGTGTCCGTGGTTGTGTGTGTCTGTCAGTGTTTTTAGGGTCCGTTCACACTAATAAAATCGCACCTACAGCAAATTCAGGTGTGGGAGGTGGGTTGCATTGCCATTCGTTTAAATGGCACCCCAACCGCACCTCCCACCCACAGTTCGATCGCCCGCACCAGAACACGCAGTACCACAATGCCGTGTGTTCTTTTGTGGTGCGACTTGGTTCATAAATTAATGACCACGTTCAAATGTGGGTACTGAGGTTACACAGGTTGAGAACCACTGGTGTAGACAAAGGCTCTCAGACTGCCAAACACTAATCACATGATCACTGTTAAGTTACGCTGGTGATATTTTCCCCCCACTGCTCCTGCTGTTCTTTAACTTAGTATTAGTCTAACTGACTTAATTGAGCAGTCCCTAACTCCCAGACATTGAGGAAGAATCGATGTGGGGAGGAGATTTCTGGAGCAACTTTAGGGAATGTGTTGGCCCCAACTGCATTGTGCATTTTGCCAAATTCAGTGAAAAGGATTCAGCAGTACACAGTCCTGTTGAGATGCTTTGCATCAACTCAAACATCCATGCAAACATATACACAATGTGAGACTGCTGCTTATATTTAATGAACCCTATAAGCAGCTAGCAGGGAAGCAGTTCTGGCTTTGCTAAATTAAGGCTGAAAGAGATAGTATTGGCAGCATCTTAAAATGGCACGCAGGAGTTAAGGTACTTGAATGCATTTTTAAGATTTAACGGAGAATTATGGAGTGAGTGAAAAACACTCATCCCCATAATTAGAGCTGACCTGTGACAAAGAAGCTGTCACAGGTCGGCTCTATTGATCGGAAAAGTCAGCGAACACACAGCGCCAATCGCAAATCGCAGACTTCCCAATCATCTCCCACCTCTTCATTTATCTATGTCAATCAGCCAATCAGATTCCGGGGTGCATCTCGAATGTATTGTCAGGATCCCTCCTGGCTAGGGCGCTGTCAGCATGGAGGCTAGACAGGAAGTCTTCATGTATTTTACATTCCTCCCATAGTTTGCAATTTGCATAATTTAACACGGCACCTTTTGCAGTGAATTTAATTTTGATGACTGACATTCTGAGAGGTGTAGATATACTGTATGTTTCCTGACAAAACTCACATACCCTTTTGTCTGTTATCATGATATGTTAGCCACACTATCAGCAGTGCTCGTGAAGGGGCTAAAAAGAGAAGCTGGCCAAACAAATCTGCAATGTTTCCTTAAGAAATCTATTGTAAGATGGTTTTTGAATGACTGTCTGTCTACTGTATCATTCTGCCCTAATATAAGTCAAAGCTGTTAAGTATTTAACGTTGTTGTCATCAAGCTTTTATATAACTATATAACACATTTCTTTGTTAGTTTTATCCTACCATTTTCTCATCCTCTTTTTTTATTTCCATGCAGACTGTGTAAAGTTGCTGCTGATGTCAGGAGCTCAAGTAGATGCTACTTTTTCTGATGGCTTTACAGCCTTATGTGCAGCAGCTGCTCAGGGACATGCAAAGTAAGAAACCCAATGGACAAATTAATTTTACAACACCTAATATTTTCATAGAAGCTTTTGTCAATAGTAGAGCAACATATCTCAACTTTTTTTCAGTCACAGCACCGTTTAAAAGTATGCAAAATCTTGAGGCACCCCAGTCTAAAATGGAAAAATTTGTAAATGTAAAATACGACATGTGGTCCATCTAAAACCCATACCAGCCCCCTATATGAGATAGGGGTCTGGTATGGATTTTAAGGGGGGCCCCATGGAAAAACACACAATGTGGGGTTCCCTCCTTCACATTAGTGTCTCCTTAACATCACAGCTCCCTTTCATATCAGAAGCCCCCTTCACATCAGAGGCATGACTGTGTGTGAAAATTTTGAGGCACCCCGATGAAGCCAGAAGGCACACCAGGGTGCCATGGCTCAGTTTGGAGAAAGACAGCCCTACAGTTTAAGACATTGGTTGGATTTTGGCTTATGCATAAATTCAGGACATCCTAAAAACAGTGCCTTTGTACAGGCTGGTAAATATGTGATAATATCAATCATATATTTTTTTCATTTTAGAGTATGGATTCTTATTAATTGCTTTTCCTACCCTAAAGTAAAATTTGCTATAGTTTACTGCACCTTTGAAATCATTGCCATTAGAACTGCTGTGTTGAGCAAGCTTAGTAATATTGTTTGTGGGGCCATAACACAGAGACACCGTTATTTTTTAATACTTTACTGAAAGTAATTGTCTAGGTAAAATAATTTAATAAAACATATCCGGTACATTTCTGCAATACAGGCACATTTCCCCATGTTTTGCACTGAATATGATTTTTTTTTGCCCAAACATACAGTTTAAGCATGCAAATTTAGGACCCGAAAACTAGAACATAACAATGACAAAACAAAGAATTTCCTAAACAAATTACTTTTGTTAGGTGAATTATTTTTCTAAATTACACATCTAATTTTGGGGTTTTCTAGATTTAAAGTGTATTTCCGCTTTGCAACCAAATTGGGATAGCACCTTTTTTTATATTTGTAAAATGTTTCTCATTCACATAGCATAACTTCTTTTTTTTAATTACTGCTTGCACATTGCATGCTCTATTCTGAAAGAGGTTAAGTTAATGTTACCACAGTTAACCCTGTACAGTGCTCACAGATTTCATCAGTTTTAAACTAGATTTGAACACTGTCCAAAACAAAAGGTTAATGATGTAGAAGTAGTGTAAGTTTATGAGGGAAATCTCACTCTGTCCCAAGACTTTTATGAAAAAGACAGCCACTTGGAAATTCAGAGAGAAGCTTGCAAAGGTCTGCTACACATACACATCTAAAAGGTAAGAAATATGTTTTTTAAAATTAATTTTAGGTATGCTGTGTGACAAGGAACACATAACAAACATATGGGAAGGTTTTCTCAAATTTGACTTCAAAAGTGGTAAAACACTTTGAGGGAATGTGAGAATGAATCGGCTTGTCCCCTTTTAAACGAACTTCACACTGCACCGTAAATGATAAGCTTTATTTGCATTGTGTCCACAGTGTACTGAATGTAGACCATAAAATGTGTATTAACTTATTGCCCTCAGATGTGCAGAAATGTTGCTTGCATATAATGCTGACATCAATTATGCGGATGGAGGAAAATCCCCTTTATACCTGGCTTGTAAAAATGGACATTTTGAAATAGTAAAACTTCTGCTGGACTATGGAGCTGATAGACAGACTGCAACCGTTGTGAGTATACGTTAAGCTGCTTATATATTAAAAGAAAGGCTCCATAATGACACTGTTTTTTGTTGTGATTATAGACCTGCTTAATAAAAGAGCCAAGAGGGCAGTTTGAAATGCCAAGGCAAAGTCTTGGTGGAAGGAATTAGACTGATCTCTGCTTTTATTCTAATCACCATGATGATAAATGTAAACTGTTAGGAATTAGATTAAGGACCAATGTATCTTTAACATAACAAATATTCATAAAATGAGTTGGGACTTTAATGGTATCAAATGTACCTACATCTAAGAGAGGAGAAAGTATATTGAACACATACATCCATTTCAATTAAAAACCAGAGAGGCCTCTCTCTCCCACACTGGAGCCCCGAGCAAACCAGTCCATGCACGATCTTGCACACTCTGGCAGGGCATCCCTCTGAAACCTACTATCCATGCGCCTGTCTTTCTGGGGCAGATAGCCACTTTGTCTAACTTAAGGTATAATCTGTAGAATGTCGTGTTGCCTTGGAAAGGAGGCTATCGCTAAATCTAAACTAGATGAATATACTAATTTGTTATCTCCTCTGAAAATGCAGACTTTGATTCAGGAACGTTATCTATAAGCACTCCTGGAGATTGTTATACATGTGAACAATAATGAAATAATGCAACATTTGCAGAAAAACTGTGATTCTTGGTTTGTCTATTTTGCAATACATGGTCTAGCTGGCCAACTGCATTAAATTGATCCCTCTCTGGCCAGTACCTACTCTACTATGCAAAATTCCATATATTTCTTCATAGCATACTTTAGTGAATATGTAGTGCCAGTCTGGGGCAGGCAGACACAGGTGGAGGAAAGCTACAGATTCAGGTCTGGTCACTGGCCCGCACCTGCAATAGAAATAGACAGATGTATGTGCACTCAAATCCAAACAGCTGCTCTAAACCGCATGACGCTATATATAATATGGAGAAGCTCAACTGGTGTTGGCAACAAACAAACAAGCTGCTCTTGTACCTCTTTAGTGTTCTGTCAGCAGTTTTTCACACAGTAGGGAGAACTTGGAAGAGAACCGTGATCCTCAGTCAGCTTACATATATAATATGGACAGTTCAGACTAATAACAAGGTCTAGCTACCAGGTAAGATTTAGACCCAGGAATCAAGGTTTTATCCTATCCAAGCTCAGCAAATACTCAGGCCTCCTGGACCCAGAACAGAACATTTTGTAATTCAGAGAAACCAATAAGTTTGTTTCCTTCTTACCCATAGAGGGACTTAGGAAGTAAAACTGTCAAGTTATACTGCCACCTACTAGAGGACCTTGTGTGTCACCTTGTGTGTTAGCAAAAACTGACAGGATTTTAAACTGAGAAGAAAAGTTCTATTTTCTTTCTTAAGGGACACAGGAAATCATTTACTGTCAGTTTTATGCTAGTGTGCAATGCTCATGTAGGCAGCAGTGTAACCCAACAGCATATGACTTCCTGTGTCTCTCAATGCACTCCAATAAATATAGAGTTATATACTTAGTGCTTAAATGCTAATATTAGGTAAGATCTCTTTAGATTGTTGTTCTATGTAGTAAACAACGCTTTCTATACTTCATTTTAAGATACAGAAGCATTCTTAATCATTCCAGTGACTGTACCTCTTCTTTCTCCAGTGGGAGGAGAATGCTGCCATCACTACATGGCAGCAGAGAATGCTACCATGTAGTGATGTAGCATCATTCTCTACAGCATTTTCTTGTGAGCCTGGGGTGGCTTGAAGACGTACCCCCGTGGCATGGTTCCTTAATGCACTAATCTCACATAAAGTTTCTTAACAGAAATGGATGTTCGTGTTTGATATACTTTCTTCCACCTTAGAGAAAGCCACTTTTGATACCATTTAAGTCCCAATTCATTTTATAAATATATGTTTGGAACTAAAAGGAGGGTATTTTTTATATAATCGATGACAAATATTTGTTTTCTGATAATTGTATTATTTAACCTAACACATCTTGGATCTCTGTTCAGCACTACATGATTCAAAGGAAGGCTGTTGGGAATGAGAGATAGTCTGAGTGATGGACAGAATGTTTCCAAAAGGACAAACTCTTTTTTTCCACATGTAGCCATTTCCTCTGTTGGTGCTGTGTAGATAAGTCATGTTCGCATTTAGAGAACTGAAATACACTGGTACCTCGGTTCATGAGCTTATTTGATTCCACGATTCTGTTTGCGAACCGAATCAAACTGTGATCAAACTGCAATCTCGACTAGAGGAAGCCACAACCGTGTGTCAGTGCAGGGAAGATGGCTGCGGTTGTGTTCCTCACCCGATGCGGAGTTCGTGAACGGAAGCAACATTTTTACAAACTTCCTGTTCGCGAACCGAATTGTTCACGAACAGAAGCGTTCGTCAACCGAAGTACCACTGTACCTTGAAAGTACCTTGAAGGTTTGCTCAATAAAATGGGGGTGTATTGAATTTTGCAAGCAAGACGTAGTACCAGTTGATCATTGCCATCATTAACATCTACTCATTGGAACTTGTACCATGTGATATATTTTGTTTTATGTTTTGTAAAGAATGGCTGGACACCAGTTCATGCTGCTGCAGATTCTGGAAACAGCGACTGTCTAAAACTTCTAATGTATTATGCAAGTCACTTTGATACCAGTGAGGAGGTTGATCTAAAGGACAATTACAGCCATAACCTCAAACCTGTTATTTCTGCAACTCTTCTCAATAGTACAGACAGTGAGGGATGGACAGCCGCTCATATTGCTGCATCGAGAGGATTCAAGGTATTTTTTAAAGATTTTTTTAGTAAATAGTAGTGCATGATAACTGGAAATATTCGGAAGATGTTACATTTACATATACTGATAAAGATTAAAGTGGGCTGTTATTTACTTTAATGTCATTCACCGCAAAACCGGAAGGATTTTTTTAAATTGGGCCACACATTATAGGAGTTTTTTTCTTGTTCTCACTGTTGAGACGAATGGCACAAAGGTTATATCTCATGCATGCATGTATACTACACATACGAATGCTTATTGGAAGGAAGAGGAAATCATTCATGGTCATATTATCATGACCAGCTCTCAACTTGTATATTAGTTGTTTGCAGAAGGTATATATTCTTTAAAGCCCATGCACACAAGTGTCAGAAGGGGGTATCTGGCATACATTACAAATGCACAGCAAGCACCTGGATTGTGGACTTAACCCCTTCCTGCCCACAATCCATGTATTGACATTCCACACCATGATACTCAATGCTGAGACTACCTTAATAACATCCTTTTGCATAACTAGGAGCTGGCACCCTTGTTGCCTGCAAGGTTTATGAGAGTTGTATATCTGACAGTGGTTCTTTCAGATACAGCGAACAGGAACCAATCAGCACAGTTCCTGCTCATGTGATCACTGTAAGGTCACAGTGATCGCATGATATTCTTTTAAAAACAATAATCAGTGAAAAGAAAAGTTAAGCAAAATTATGAATCGAATCTGTAATGGAAAACATTAATTTCTGAAGGAAACAGGAATGTTAGAAATTCTTAAATACCGTATTTGCCGGTGTATAAGACAACTCTGCGTATAAGACGACCCCCTACTTTTTGTGTTAAAATATAGGTTTTGGGCTATACTCATCGTATAAGACGAGTATAGCCCAAAATAATGTTTAAATGCACCCACTAACATCCATGGCGGTATTTTCGAGTGTGGCTCGGGGTTAATTTTCAGTACCATAAGCGTTAACCCCGAGCCACACTCGGGATTACAGTCTCTTACCTTGTCCACGATCCCCGCTGTGTCCTCCGTCTTCCGCTGAGTCAATCACGGCAGGCTTTGTATTTAATGAATACAGGCTTTGTATTCATTAATACAAAGCCTGCCGTGATTGGCTCAGTGCGGTATACTGTATGTAGCCGAAGCTACATACAGTATACCGTATCCTTCCGTATGTACCCGGCATATAAGACGAACCCCGATTTTCAGGGGATGTTTTAAGGTCTCAAAACCCGTCTTATACGCCGGCAAATATGGTAGTTTGGTTATTCTGCTGCCTACAGGAGCTTGGGACAGTGGCAAAATAAAGGTAGCCTTTTTATTCTTATGTTTTCATCTTTTCTCTCCTTAAATCAAGATACTTGGTACACAATAGATATTTTCTTCTTCACAGGTCTGTCAGGGTGAATCTTCTGAAGGTTTAAATCATGAGCGACAGTTGCACATATGTATATTACATGCCCTAGAGGTTTGCTAAATGTTAGGAATCATTATTTGTGAATTTTTCAAGATGGTAGTTCGGTGGATTCATATTGCTGTCTTAAACCTGATTAGAAAGTAGACAGTTGCAGATAATGTATGAGTAAGTTAACAGAAACAAGCACTTGCATCACATATAATTACTATAATAATGACTCCCTGTGTGCTGGTGTCCAGGGTTCAGTTTTCTTTGTTCTCACTGATGACATCTCTATAGTTTCCTATCAGTAGGGAAGTCAAAATAAGTCTTATCTGTGGTAATACTTAATACCTCCCAAAGTGCAGTGATCCATTCTTTAAGGCTTTTCTTGCCTTTGTTAAATACAAACGGCTTGTCCTCAGAAATAATGGCCTATTTGTTTGTGTATCTCTCATTGTTATTTACATATAAATGATGGCACACAGACTACCACTAATCTGTAACCTGTATGGGAAGTATTTGCATGGAAGCTTCCTCTGTTTTCTGTTGATTGCTGATTGTATTTACCCTGCTTTCTGTAATGTCACTCATCCATTGTTTTTCATGTTAGAATATAAATAAAGTTCATTGCTATATTTGCCATGGCACAGCTAATGAATAAGTTATGTACACAGGGAAATCTTAATTCTCACAGAAAATGAAACAGTCTGCAATGGAATATCATAGAATGATGTAACGTGCCTCCAGTACTGAAAAGCACTTAAAATATATCTAAACCCCAGAATACAAATGCAATATATGGCAGCTTAACAGTCTTTAGATGTGGGGACTACATTAGTTTTCTTGCTAAATACATTTTTTGCAAGTACAGTTAAAATACCTGTTGATCTTGAAAGAAATCCAGTGTCCTGGCAACTTCCTGTGCACTAAACTGAAACTTCAAACAATGCCATCAGCCATCCCAATTGTTCCCTGCTTACGACAGAACACCTTCATTCTTTATTATGAAAATGAGTAAAGGGTGTCCAAATAAGGAGCGCAGCCTAAAATGTCAATGCTCAACATTGCCCATACATAGTTAAAGTACAGCAAATTAGTGTTGTCACCCTAAGACAGGGAGTGAGTTTGTGCCAGGATCACCAGGTGAAAATAATGGAAAAAGCTTTAAAAAGAGAAGCTAATTCAACCACTACATCTTAGATCTGATAACATTTTTGGGTTTAGATATGTTTTAATATCTCTTGGCTACCTTGCATGACCTGAATGTTGCAATTGATGCTGGAATCTGCCTCATTTATTCTGCATTCATGGCCATATTGGATCTGAAAGAAACAATTCACCACAAGAAACACTGACCATATAATGAATGTTGGCTTCTTAATGCAGTCTGTATACATTCCTACAATTATTAACATTGTTGAACAGTTTTCAAGCATCACTAGTGATATTTGTTCATAGTATAGAAATTGAAGAACAAATAATGAAAATGGGCATTGCGAAGTGATGTCAGTCTGGGTCATTGGTGGGAGAGGTTTTCCACATATTAGGAAAATGGTTACCTTGGGCAAAAACAGAAAGTTCCTTCCAATTACTTCACATGTTAGTTATGATAAATAAATAATGACTCTTGTGTAAGGGGAACATTGTATTTTTAACTATGTATTTGTTTACAGTTGGTAGGAAGTGTACAACTTGTTAATCTTGGTTAACCAAGATCATACAACATCACCCACAGAGTTCCTGTTTTTCTAAATAAATTCCCATAGATTGACGCTTATCTTATTTGATAGTTTTGCCTGCATATGTGATCAGATGGTTGCACGGTTTCATCACAATCTTCACTGCTTCTTAAAAATACTGCCAGGTCTGAATGATGTCTTGCTGCAGTCTTAAGATATTTTATTAATTGCTTTTTCTTGCAAGTGTATGAATAAATGAGCACTCATGTTTTGCAGCCTACGGCAGTATCCTAAAGCAGCTAGTCAGTGCTGCTACATTTTCACAATCCTAAAAACATAATTCTGCAGCATTTCCTTCTGCTTTTCTGAACTTCGTTCTGCTTTATTCATGCTTCAAAGCATCATCATCATTTTTCCTGCAAGGTTTTAATGTAGGAGCAGCTAAATCGAAAAGCACAAGGTCACTGTCATTTTTACTGTATCTAATTTCTATTGTGATGTGCCCACCCAAACCAACAACAACTTAACATCTGTGATGTTCAGATTCTCTGATCTGCTCATTGTATTTTCTTAAATTACATTTTCTATTGCAATGAAAAACATCCCCACCTTCCTATTGATAACACCTATATTTATAGGCTGGTATCCTCATAAAAAGAGAGTTGTGAGTATGCAGCCATGTGCCCTTATGTATAAGACTGGTTCTCCAAGGTAAGGGCCTTAAAATGGATTCCTCTCTGAAACAGCCTGGTACTATATTTTTGCCTGAAAGAATTAAAGTAAATCTGGCACAAATTTTAAAATTCAGTCCGTGTGTATAATATAATATTCGAAATACATAAGCATTGCAAAGACTACCTGCAGTAAAAGCTGCATATGAAAACAATAAGTGGATCTGAAGATATAGGTTTATGAAACTCTGCCCTGCTCCTCCTACTGCCACAGACTACCTTTCGGTTGGTGAGGCCGCTTTTCACATAAAAAAACTAAATGAAGGCTCTAGAGACAGAAAGGAATAGGGCAAAGCTCAACTTTAACTGGAAAAGTAACAATTTGTATTAAATGGAATTGTCTATGTCCCTAGATCTACTGATTTGTGTGCTTCATTTTGGTTGTCCATGTTAATAAAAAGTTTACTTTAACCACTGAAAACCTATATTTCTACTGGGTCAGTATTTTATCTCCTGAAGTTTTATTTTTTCTCCACCAACCTGTTTACTTTTTCTGCTCTCCTCCTTAATAAAACCTCACAATTACTACAAGCCAAAAGCTATAGGTATTTTCGGGATTGAAGGCCTAAGTAATATATATTTCAAATGTAACAGTTGGAGTTGCCAGCTTTGGTATATCTCTGTTATGTGTGGACATGCTGATCAGACCTTAATCTTCTGTTCTAACTAATCTGATCTCTCCAGGATTGCTTAGAAATCCTGTGTAGTCACTCTGGGTTGGAGCCAGAAAAGCAAGACAAGTGTAACCGGACAGTTCACGATGTAGCTACAGATGACTGCAAGCAGCTCCTGGAGAATTTGAGTGAGTGAACTTTACTCTTTATTTGTCCTCTCAATCTGGTGGCTTGACATTTAAGCTGTATAGATCTCACATAGTCGGAAAGTCTTACCACATAATCCTATTACTGTCTGAAGGAAAGATTATCATCACTTTATCTTCATATGTGGACACATTGACTTTCAGAGGGCATTCAGGATGCACGTTCCTGTTATGCTTTCTAAAATCAGCAGGGGATTGATTGGCTTGTTATTTGTGGCATTGCGTTGACATATGGTTATATTAGGTACAGTGCATTATTTTTTGTGAAACTACATATGAATTGGATGCCAAAATGCAGCTCAGTGCAACCTTAATTTAATGCAGCATGCAGGTGTGAAAGGAATCTACTGAAAATAATTTATAATAATGTATTCTCATTCCTGCATTTTGCCTGCACTAGTAAATGTAACCCTCGCTGTGTATAGAAATTCGGGTCAATGCAACTTTGAACATCTCTATTTATAATATGTTACTATTTATAATTTTTGCTATTTTTAAGAAGTCTCGCCTTGCATTATTTTTCACCGCTCTGTCACCTAACTCCCACAGCGTATGTTGCTTTTTATCCCGTGCTCCTATGTAATGTGGAAACTGGGATTACAGACTTCACTTCTCTTCCTGACCGTGATCCGCAAAGGCCTCCTGATTTTGAGGAGAGGAGGAGTGATCTGTCAAAGTCTGTATTTCACTTTGTACATTACACAGAAGCATGAGCTAAAAAGCAACATATACTGCTACAGTTAGGTGACTGAGCTGTGAAAAATAATGCAAGGTGAGACTTCTTTAAAAAAAAATGCATCAAATCCATTTTATTATACCTAAAGACTGTTTTGATTTTTAGAACTGTCATGAAATTCAGGTCATTGGATGAGTTGTCATTAGCTAAGATGGGCATCATTTCTGTAAATATGGGTGTAGTTCATTTTTCTGTTGGGGATTAAAGTTTTCTCAATTTTAGGCTTAAAATAGTACAAATTATACCTTCATTATGCACGTGGGAGTCTTTTTAGTAAATGTTGCAGCCAGTTTTACAGGCATGGTCAGAACAAACTTTCAACCCATACTGTACATGAAAAGCACTGTCAAGGTCCAACCATGACTTTTGCTTTACTCTTCAGAATAAGGAAGCTTTTCTCCTCCTTCACACCCAGGAGGGCCAGAGGCTGTTAGTTACACCTTTGATCAAAGTTAACTCTAACAAAAGACATAACATGATATAGAAGCTAGATGCAATTTACCTCAGCTGCTCTGGGGGCTCACTAATAAGACCGTGCCCAGGCCCGGATTTCCCACAAGGCCACCGAGGCCCGGCCTCGGGGCGGCAGAGCGCCGAGGGGGAAAGTTCAGGATAGTATAAGAATAGGTGATGGGTTCAGGGAGCCTGTATAAAAAGTAAAAAAGTAAAAGTATGAAAAGTGCTTCTGTAGTCACCAGATTCCATTGGAAATTCTCATGACAGGTCAGGGAAAAATCTGGAATCTGGCTTAATGCCGTGGACAATGTAGAGACCCTTCCTTTCTCATCCTTATTTATTAGCACAAGGAAGTAATGTGCAAAGTTTAATTACAAGAAATTTTTATTTTCTTACAGATTCCCTCAGGATTCCTATAAGGATTTCTCTCGATGATAATGTTCGGATGTGCTACAGCGCAAGTGATTTTGAAAGCGAAGACATCTGCTACCTTTGCATCCATAAACATACAACATGGGATGATTTATCTACAGCTGTGAGTCAGGCTGTACTAAACCACTTCAGCACTATTATGTCTGATGGATGGGAGAGCCAAGAAGACTTGACATTTAATAACACTGCTGAATCCAACCTTGGCCTTAGTGCAATCACCGACTTGTCATTCAGACTAGGTATATTCAATCTTCTATATAAGATATATGATCTGCTTGGGTTTAGTGTCATCATCATATGGATATATATTGTTTAGCACAAAAGTCATGTTATTTTATGCATGAATGAGGTGAAAGAATATTACCTGGCTAAAACTTGCTCTTTCAGCAAGTGATTACTGTTTAGTTTTAAATGCTCAACATGCAAGTAGGAAAAAATGTACATAAGGGCCAAACAGTTTGAAGTTTGTAAAAATGCAGTCTTGTGGAGTTTCGGACCAATATACAAATATATAAACTTGCAGGTCCCATAAGGGAAGCAAAATCTTTACTTTCTTTATGGAGTGGCGGTATCCTATTATAAATGTCATTATGAGGCTTTGCTCTAGATGTTAGGGTTATGATTTAATATTGTAATTTCATTGTGAACAGTATTGGAAGAAGGGATTGTGGTTGCCTATTACCTGTGAGCCTATTTCAGATGTAGACAAGTAAATGCAGAATTCAGGAGTATTATACACTATATTGTATGCATTTGATTCTAACGTTCGATTTTGGAATTAATGGAGTTTCCCCGAATGAACACCACTTTCACTGTTAGAATTTCGTTGGTCCAAGAAAAATTTTCCATCTTGCGCTTTCAAGTTTTTTAATCACTACAGTCAAAAACGAGCGTTGGTTTGACCCCATTAAATAATAGAAAGTATTTTTATGGCCAGCTCAAGGTTGCTTGGTCCAGTTCAGCTTATCAGCATATAGTCTTGTGATTTTGTTTGTATAAGAAGATGGCTTCATTCATGGTTCATAAAAAGTTAGATTAATATTTTCCTCTTGCTGATCTTATATTTGTATTTTTATAACCGTTACCCTGTAGCAATATATAACTTATATGTGATATGTGACTTCACTCCTGTAAGACAGAACATAACTGTAGAGAGCTGATCAAATAACCTATGTCATGCAAGTAAAAATAGAACTTGAACTTGGGTCTGCAGATCAGAAATGGTACTACTGTAAATATAAATTGTAACTGGAGAATAATGATGTCACTCTGCATAAATATGCCCAGACAGTAGTGGTATCACTCTTGGTGTCACTTTTGTGAGATATAACCTGTAGATGAAGTGTATTATTATTATTACATAGTATTTATATAGCGCCAACAGTTTGCGCAGCGCTTTACAATATAAGGAAGACATTGCAGTTACAATACAATTCAAGACAAGATGGTAAGGAGGGTAAGTGTAGTAATATCAATCCTGTAAACCAGGACTTGTATATGCAGAATCCAGTAAGCATACACTGAGGAGAAGTAATTATCATAGAGGACATTCCAAAAGGACAGATATTGATTGTAAGATGATATGAGTGGAAAGTGGCATACTGTATACATTTAATGTATTGTATTCATGACAGAAGCGGCTTAGTGACAGTAGACTGCAACAGAATGGTGCCACACGATTACACTTAATTATGTAAGAAGATTTGGCAGCCATGTCATCATGAAGCATTTGCTTGAATTTTTATTTTGTGTCTCCGATTAATGCCACATGTGCTCACCAACTGTCCTTAATTCTCAGGTCCAAGGCTTGTTTCTATTCATTTATACTCTTGTGTCTCTAGAAACATTTTCTGATTCTCACTGCATGATAAAGCTTTTTTACCCTATAAAACAAGAATGTGACCTCCGCATTTATAAAAGCCCTTTGGAGTTCTCTTAGGTAATAAAATGCAGCTCATCAGCTACTGAATAATTACTGAGTGCCATATCTGTGTTTATTATACTAAGGGTTTGTGCTATGGCCCACACATTGCCCTTTTTACTTTTAGAGCCAAAAGGCCCTTGTTCTTCTTCTAATGGGGACTTAAAGCTGGCCATACACTAACAGATTTATTTCACTTAGTCTGTGGGCTGAACAAAAGAAATCTAGCAGATTCCAATTCTAAGGAATCCCTCCTGCTGGGCTATTCTATTCTGACAGCTGCTACTTGCTGCTTTCAGAATACACAACCAAAAGGTGCCTGTAGCTGATTGGCTGATTAAAATTACTTCATTGTTAATAATATTCCATTGTTTCTATTTACATTTTATTTACATTTGAAGTCTCTTATGCTCAAACCTGATACATGGTCTTTTTTTAAAGAGATTATTGTTATGATTGTGTTGCTAAATCTGAGATTTTTAGCATTGACCTGTAAAAAGAAGTACCATAGTTTGTTCAGTAGATATTTGTAAAACATCTTTAGGGATTAGCTATTTAATGACCAATTTGTACACTAACAGGGTTATTCACAAAAAGATGAAGAGTTTGGGGAAGGCAGGAGAAGTGAACTATCTAGGACAACATAGCTGAACTGGAAAGTGAGCTGAATTGGAGAATTTTTCTAAATCAGTTATATTGGCCTAGATTGTTCACTTCTCCTGTCTTCTCCAAACTCTTCACCCTTTAGTGAATAACCCTGTGAGTATATCTTTTGAAAGGAGTAAGAAATTGTAGTAGAATGCATCTATAAATGTTGATCTAGCCCCTTTTCATTTTATTTCCAGGGAACACATCGTGGTCACTAGGGCAGATTTTCTTGCAGACACCATGGGAATTTCTGAAAATGAGCAAAGTGGATCAGCTTTCTGTTTTTCTGCCAGGTAAGTTAAGTAACAACTATTCTGGTTCTTAAAGAAATCCATTATTGAAAAAAGGTCTGCTAATTTGTTACCTTTAGTGGTGCAATAGAGTAGTTAGAAGGGGAAGGTTGAAGAATAATGAACATTTTCCTAGGTGTTTCAGAACTGGATAAATTTACTAAAGGAATAGAAATTGTTCACATAGTAAAGTGACTGCAAATTTGGAAATACACTTTCCAATATGAAGAAAGTGTATGTGCGTGTGTGTGTGTGTGTAGATAGATAGATAGATAGATAGATAGATAGATAGATAGATAGATAGATAGATAGATAGATAGATAGATAGAGAGCTATCATTATATGGCTTTGCTTTATTCAACAGCTTTAACTTTGTCAGGTGAACAATTTCTATTCCTTTATTTTGTCAAGTCCAGTGTGTTGTAGTACAGAGGGATCCCTACTCTAACTGTGCTCTTTCATAATCTCCAGCATGGAGGCTGGCCACTTCACTGCTGTCTGACTACGACATGTATTGCACACTTCCAGGTGCGTGAATACCTGCCGCTCCCCCTGCATGCTGTGGTTCTACTCACTGGCTTATAAGTCACTACAGCACGTACAAGCTAGCAGGGCGAACCAGCAGGACGAACCACTGCGTACTGCCGGGCGTTGGGTATTGTAGAAAGGTGAGTATAGATGGGCTTCGTTTACAGGGCTGGCCATTTTGTTCTGTTTTTTCAAGTTGTGTTAAAATTTGTATTGAAACAACACATGTACAGTATGTAAGCCTAGTCAGCAAAGCCGTTTATACCAGATATTTCTTGCAGGCGGAGATGTAAGCAAAATCTGAATTTGCAATAACTGGTTACTTGTGAAATGGGGGAGATGCATGCAAACTTAATGCAGAAGATTATGATATACCAGGACAAAAGGAGAATAATATATAAAACGGTCCATTTATTAGAAATGATTGAATAAAAAACTTTATGTTAAATAGGAAAATAGCAGTATGGTACTGTTTGTTTCTAAGCAGCTGATTCTCTTGTAGCCGTACTGAGTCAGGGGAACTGTGCCTAGAAGGGATGCAGGTGTCAGCATTCTTGCTTGATCTTATATGCACAGCTACATACTTCTTTCGAGTAACAGACATTCCCATGGGAAATGAAGACTTGTACATCATTGAAAACTTTACAAACACTGCACTAGAGCAACGAGCAGATAGATATATATTTTTTCCGAGATCTGGTGGCTGATCGGATTTGCAGTAAAACAGCAGAAAGGCATCATGGCACACTCACAAAACCAGCATGTAAAACAACATGTCTCACCACTAAGGATAATGATAATGATAGAGGTTTGGATACACGTCTTCAGACGAGGATGTGTAAGGCACCTCTTATAGTGCGGTCCTAACTCTAAACTATGAGAGTCTTCATCTTGGAGCACATGGGGGCAGAAGATATCAAGTTTTGCTTGACTGATTTGGTGCAGCGACGCATGGGGTTTCTCAGCTGCCAATAGGATGTGCGGGATCCCTTGTGTGTTTCTGTACCTTTTAAGGAGGTTGGGCGTCCTCCTGACAAACCTGCACCCAATTTGATATCTTCTAATTATAGATTATTATAGATTCGATCCCCTAATATTGGGATCATATTGGAGCAACCAAAGTTTGTGAGCTGCCTGCCTAATCTTTTCTTGGTATTTAAAATGTAATCCAATTGTCATCTGCATCATAATAGAAGTGGCTTTCTCTTTTGACAAACCACTCACACAACATTTTATTTTGCCATGTCTTTATTCAAGAAATGGTTTAAACAGTCAAGGTCATTAATGGACAGAGTGTACAAACCTGGAATAATACCGACTTGATAAGATTGGACAGCCGAGTCAGGTGTTCATACAGTTCAGATGTGAGGTTGACCTGCCCTGCCAAAAATTTTTTTTTTTAAATCTCATACTTTGGTTATTGTATTTCACAGCATAATTTTGTCCATTCTCGATGACTTGCTACAATGTGATCTGGGTAAACCATTTAGACAAATACAGTAAGTCAAAACATATACATGAGCTGAAGCAGATTGGTGTACTGGAATAGATTCTAAATAAGTTATCTTCTCAGCTGTTTACTTGTGAGAGTTCATATTTTCTAACCCTAAAGAGCTTTCTCTGAACAGATTGCATGCAGCAAAAAGGAATTGTTCATATCAGTTGCAGTATTGAAAAGGATGTACTTTTATGAATGGAAAGGGGTTTATAACTATGGAGGTTATAGACCCATTTTCAAAATAAAATATACTGTTCATCCATTAAGTAATATTGTGAAAATATGATACCCGTAATTGACAAGTAGATTTTTAAGTCATCCAACAGTCATAAAAATACTGCTGTACTTTCGTTTGTTAGTGTTTGTGCATGTCTGTCCTGCCTGTGTTGCTCAGAGGTGAACATGCTCAGTGCTGGCCTCTCATATAGTGGGGACGTGCCCGACAATTCACCTTGCCATACTGTTATTTTTCTATTGTTTTGTTGGTTTTTCCTGTTAACCATAAAATGCCTTAAGGACGGGACCGAGAACGATAGCCAGACTTAACTTGACAGTTTGTTTGCATGTATATATTATATGCTTCAATGTCTGCTACTTATGTATTGTGCGAGACCGTGTGGCCTCCACACTCTTTTTCATTGTACCCCTCCCTTTTTGTCTATAAATAAAGAATTTGAAAAAAAAAATGCTGCTGTATTATTTGATATTTTTATTCCAATAATCCAGCAGTGAACAAAAATATTTCCAGTGGCATGATAATCTGAAATTTTTTGATAATCCAGAAAATTAGTAAAGTCAGCCAGTGCTGGAGTGAAAGTATGGAGGCAAAAAGCAGGGTGAAGATCAGATATAAATAGGAAGACTAAAGGTGCCCATACACTGCTCGATTCTCGTACGAGAATCGGGCGAAATCCCGCGATCGTACGAGAATCGAGCAGTTTCTACTGTACGGTCGCACGTCTTTTGTCGAGCCAACATGTTCGAAAACCCACCGAGAATCGTATGATTCTCGGCGGGTTTCTAGCCTGCTCGTCCGATAGCTGCGGAACGGGCCGGTGTGCGCACTGCCCGTTCTGCATTGCCCTCAGCGGGGCGGGCTTTCGATAATCGCAAGTACGATCTGCCCGTCCAAGGTGGGCAGATAGTATGGGCTTTCAAGAAGCATACGACCATCGCAAGACAAAAGTCTTGCGATGGTCGTAAGGTGTATGGGCACCTTAAGTTATACCTGTTATAGGTAATTCCCTTTCTTTCTAATCGTGTGGATCCCACCCATATTTAATAATGTGCTAAATGCCATCTATGGGGTTCTATTTTGTGCTGCATTATTGTTTTTTTACTATTTCTGTCCAAAGTGTAAGTAAATGAAAAACAAAAGGTACTATTGAATGTTTTTTTGTAAATTAAAGTGGAAAAATAAACAATATAACAAAAAAAAAGTATACATTGATGTCTGTGAGCAATGTATATGGACTGCTCTGTTGTTTTTGTTATAGTATAATCTGAAGTCCTAATATTGGGATAGAGGAGCTGTACTAAAACTCTATCTGTATTAAACGTGACTACACTCAGTTTGGGTGGAATTGTCATGGATGTTTGCATTTTATTTTGTGCAGAGTTTTCACAAAATCTCATAATTTAATCTTTACACTCTACAGGTCCAAAAGATGGAAGTCTTAAAAGTGTGGCTTATGCCTCAATGATTCCACTACAAACATTGCAAAACTTTCTTCGCTTGGTAGGTGACACATTCACAATAGAAAATAAGTGGGGTTTTCTTTTAATGGTCACTAGCTTGTCTGTTCAGTCTTTCCCTTAATTAAAATTGTGTTTAATGCCTACCTAAACTCTTATTTTTATCATTTCTACTTATTCCTAGAGAATCAGTAAAAAAAAAAACATTTTGTGCAGCCCTCATTTTTTTAACATCATATTGCCATAGTGATTCACTGTAAAAAAATTGCCATTTGCACATATCTTAAGCAAAATGTATTATGCCAAGTATTGGGTGCATATATTCGCTAAATGCAAAGAGACATGAACCTGATGCCTAATCACAATTAGTGATGGGCTCGATGTTCGAGTCGACCAAGAGTTCGACTCGAGCATCGCTAGTTCGTGTGTTTGGCGAGCACCCCACAAGGCATTGCGCACCGCACAGTGCCTTGTGAAGCCCTGATTGGGTAAAGCCTTGCACCTGACCACAGGTCAGGTGGAAGATGTTGCTCAATCATGACACAGTGCACTGAAGAGCCATGATTAAGCAAAGTAATGATGACTTTGCCCAATCATGGCTCACCTGTCAGGTGCCGTACAAATGTAAACAGTTGGGCTGAGCTAGCTAGCTGTCACCGCTAGCTCCGCCCAATTGTTTATATTGTTCCGGCATCTGTCAGAATGCCATTCTGTGGCGGCAATAATAATTCCACCTAATTTTGTGGGTGGAATTATTATTAGGAAGGCTAAGGGAACGATGTAGTTCATTTAAAGTGTAATTATACTGTAACTATAAAGTATAACATAAGGCCCCTTTCACACTGGGGCTGTACACGTGCAGGGATGATCGAAGCAGTACAGATCGGATGTCAGTGGTATTGGGCATCCAATCGGGTCTGCCTGAAAAACTGACAGACGAACCTCATATTAGAAGAAGAAGCAGCAAGCAATAAAAAAAAATACCAAGAATCTAAAACTGGTATAGGATCGGCTGTGTAATAAAACAGACATTTTTCCACCTACCCGACCCCCCCCAAAAAAACATATTCATCCTGTATACTAGTCCGCTAGTTGATTATAAATGAGCTACCCTGAGGCTCCAATCACACATGAGCGGTTTCCGTGTGCGTTCAGCAAAGAGGGAGGAAGAGAAGGGGAGAAAGAGGGAGGAAGAGAGGGGAAGAAAGAGGGAGGAAGAGAGGGGAAGAAAGAGGGAGGAAGAGAGGGGGAGAAAGAGGGAGGAAGAGAGGAGGAAAAAGAGGGAGGAAGAGAGGAGGAGAAAGAGGGAGGAAGAGAGGAGGAGAAAGAGGGAGCAAGAGAGGAGGAGAAAGAGGGAGCAAGAGAGGAGGAGAAAGAGTGAGGAAGAGAGGAGGAGAAAGAGGGAGGAAGAGAGGAGGAGAAAGAGGGAGGACGAAAGAGAGAGGGAGGAAGAGAGAAGGAAGAGGGGAAGAAAGAGGGAGGAAGAGAGGGGGAGAAAGAGGGAGGAAGAGAGGAGGAAAAAGAGGGAGGAAGAGAGGAGGAGAAAGAGGGAGGAAGAGAGGAGGAGAAAGAGGGAGGACGAAAGAGAGAGGGAGGAAGAGAGAAGGAGGAAGAGAGAGGAAGGAAAATGGATACATAGAGAGAGCGAGGGAGGGAGAGGGAAAGGGAAAGGGAGGGAGAAAAAGGCAGGAGAAGAGGAGGACCTTCTCTTCTCCTCCTCCCTCTTTCTCCCTCCCAAAGGGAGGAAGAGAAGAGGAAAAGGGAGAAAGAGAGAGGAAGGAACAGGGATAGGGAGAAAGAGGAAGAGAGGGAGAAAGGGGGGGGGGGGAGGTTTGAGCCAAGAATAAGAGTAGGCGAGGTAGCCCCCAATAAGGGCTATAGGAGAGGGGAAAGAAAAAAGAAAAAAAAAACAGGTATAGGCAAAAAGGAAGCAGAAGTGTCCAGCTCCGGGCTAGGGATGTGTTGATCTCAGGCCTGAAGCCCGTCTAGGTTTACGTGGACAGTAAGGGTACGCTGCTAAAGAAGAGAGAGGGGAGAAGGGGGGGGGGGGGAGAGAGGAAGAAAGAGAAGAGGGAAGAGAAATGAGGGAGGAGGAAAAGGGAGGAAGAGAGAGGAAGGAATAGAGAGAGAAAGAGGAATAAATAGAGGGAGGAAGAGAGCAGGAGGAAAAGGGAGAGGAAAGAGAGGGAACAGAGAGAGGGAGGAAGAGTGGGAGGAAGGAAGAGGGGGTGGAAGAGAGAGGCAGAAAGAGAAGAGGGAAGGGAGGGAGGGGGAGAGAGAGAAGGTGGAAAAGGGAGGGAGAGAGAGGAAGGAAACGGGATAGAGAGAGAAAGAAAGCAGGTGAGAGGAAGGAAAAAGTGGAAGAAAGGCAGGGGAAGGGAGGAAGAGAGAGGAGGGAGAGAGAGAGAGAGAGGGGGGGGAGAGGGAGGAAGAGAGGGGGGGGGGGAGAGAGGG